CCTGCTTGCTGCACGTGCGTGTTTGTTTGCGCGTGCGCGTGTCGGACGTTCAAACTGGCGGCCGGGGAGCTCGAAGGAAAGCATATTTGTATTACATTCTCGTGCACGCGGTCGCTCGCTCGCCTCCGCGTGTTCGCGCCGGTGAGCTTTGAACCAAACTCCGATTACCGCCCGCATGAAGTCGTGCTGGAGGAGTTAAAAACTTTCTTGGGGGGCCTGGGGTGGGTGGGGGTCGTCTTCTTCTCATAGCAGGACTGCGTGTAAAACGAGCGAGACATGGCTGCGCTTCTTCTGCGACTTTTGGGGGTCGCGCTCCTTGCGGAGGGGACCCGCGGCCGAGAGGCTTTCGCGGGAGGGGACAGCGAGTTCCTGCGGGACATCGTGCGCTTCTTCGGCCACAACGAGTCCATTCCCGCGCGCAACCTGGAGGAGCTCCTACATATCGTCGCCGCCCGCCGGCATCACGCCGTCACCCACGACGGCAACCCGCTCCACGGACGCGAGGTAACGAGCTGGAGTCACACACGCACACGCACGCGGTGGACAATTGCAATTTCCTTTGGTCCACTTTTTTTTTTACATTGGTAAAGACCAGAGTGCGACATTTGGAACAATAAGTGGCTGTTCCTAATATTTTGAGTCACGGGTCAAAACATCAGGAACAGCGCCCACGGTGTGAACGCGTGAAGTCTTTTGCCAATCATCGTGATTGAATGAGAGTACCAAATGAAATGTCCGGCCAGCGTTTGTCTTGATATGCTCAGATTCATTTGTGGAGTAGGGATCACGATGCAAGATAATTATCAAGTCATAAGTACACACCCAATTCCAATGAAGTTGTGTTAAACCTCAATCAAAACAGAATACAATGACGTGCAACTCATGTTTAACTGAATAAACCACAAAGACAAGATATTTCCCATTCAAACCGATCAACTTTATTGTTTTTCGCAAATTATCATGAACGTAGAATTTTAAGGCTACAACCCGTTCCAAAAAAAGCTGGTCCAAGGTCATGTTTACCTCTGGCCTCCATGACCTTTTCACAAGATTCAGTCAAGGTTTGGGAAGTGAGGACACGAACTGTTGAAGTGTTGAACTTTGGGAGGTGGAATTCTTTCTCATTCTTGCTTGATGTACAACTTCAGCTGTTTATCAGTCCGGGGTCACCGTTTCATAAGGCGCCACACATTCTCAATGGGGGAACAGGTCTGGACTGCAGCCAGGCCAGTGTAACGCCTGCACTCTTTTACTCCGTTGCCACGCTGTTGTGACACGTACAAAATGTGATTTGGCATTGTCTTGCTATGTGTGTGTGTGTGTGTGTGTGTGTGTGTGTGTGTGTGTGTGTGTGTGTGTGTGTATAAATATGTACACACATGTGAATGTGTATACATGATATATCAGTGTACATATGTATATGCTGACACATGAATTAGATGATTTCGGAATGGTACAAAATTGCACATCAGCTTATTGGAGTCATACAAAGATTTGTAAAATGAATATGCTGTTCTGTTTTTTAAAATATTTGCTTCACCTATTGTGAAATACTTGAAGCAACAAATGACATTTTATAATGCAAATATAGCATATGTGAATGAATAACATTTGTTGTCATATTCATTTACTCTAAGAAAATTACAAACTAGCGTCCTATATGACTTGACACTTTTCAATAATGTTATGATATGCAAATAATAAGCTAAAAAAAAAAAGAGACCTAAAATAAACTTTCCGGTCTTAAACATCTCCAAAGCTTTGTTCCTCCGCCAGTTGTTGTGGAAGTGCTACATAAATTAATGATGTACTGTATTCTGTTTACAACTCTGCTAGCCCTAATATTATATTTTTCTATACATCTCCAGTGTTTGTTTGTTTTTGTTGTTTCTTTTTGAATGTGCTCCTATTTATATATATAAACAACTGCATCGTTGTGTTCTCATTTTGCTCCAATCATGTGTCGCCAAACCGTTTCTAACGCCGCGTCTCTTGTGCGGCTTTTAGTGCCTGTCGGCCCAGCAGATCTTGGCCCACTTTGGCTTCCCCAACGTCAGCCGGCTGGGCGCCGGACATCTGGAGGCCATTTGTCCCGCCGTGTTGACCCAGGTGCTGGTGCCCTCCTGCCCCTACACCGCCCCCGAGATCACCACCCCGACGCCGCCCACGCTCGACTACTCGGGTCAGTCCCAAATGAAATGAAACCGCTGATGCGCATTTCATACGTTGAGCGGGAACCGTAGAATGGACAAGTTAGGAACTCGACTGTCAACAAACAAGGTTAAAAAAAAAAAATTTAATTAAATCAACACACATTTTCAAGGGTACAAAAGGGAAGAAAAAAAAACGTGTCGTGGAATGACTTCGTCTGCCCCATTTAGGATTTATCAGCCGCCTGTTATCAGCTAGTAATTAGTAACACGGCCCTCTGTCAAATGTACTTAATGCTCACGTTGCACATTTCAATGGCGTCATTGCTGAGGTTCTGACCTTGCTCTCACATGCTGCTTTGTGTGTGCGTGTGTGTGTGTGAGAGAATGTTGGGGAAGGGGGGGCAGGAAGATGGGTGGGGGGGACAATATTTCCTCCACCAGAGCTTTGTCGAAAAAGCATGCGTCTGCCCCATTTAGGATTTATCAGCCGCCTGTTATCAGCTAGTAATTAGTAACACAGCCCTCTATCAAATGTACTTAATGCTCACGTTGCACATGTCAATGGCGTCACTGTGCGTTTGGGGGGGGGTATGGAGATACTTCCATATTCCTTCTGTTTGATAAAATGAGATGAACCCCAAAATTTTAGTCAAGTGTTAACAAGTGTGGTCGAGAATAGTCGTCGTCGTAGGGGGAAAAAAAATGTGTCTGCATATAACGCGTGTGTAAAGTGGTGTGATTTTTTTTTTGCAGTTTGGGGTTGGGGCTTCTTGTCGGTGACGGTGATCAACCTGGCGGCGCTGCTGGGCCTGCTGCTCATCCCGCTCACGAGCAAGTCGTACTTCCCCAAAGTGCTGACGTACTTCATCGGCCTGGCCATCGGCACGCTCTTCTCCAACGCCGTGCTGCAGCTCATCCCGGAGGTGAGGCGCCGCCTCACTGGGCTCGTGAGCTCAACTTCCTAAATTGATTTCTCCGGTTTTTCATCGACTCCTTGCCGTTTTTGTCGTGGTCCAGGCGTTGGGCTTCGACCCGAAAGCGGACGACTACGTGTCCAACGCCGTCGGCATCTTTGGAGGCTTTTACCTTCTCTTCCTGGTGGAGAGGCTCCTCACTATGGCGCTGCGCGTCGAACACCAGGTCAGACTTTTCGCACGCCTTCGAGGGTGTGTACGAGAGTCTTGCCCGAATCACTTCTTTCCTTGAGTCCGTTTTTATTCCCGTTCTAATTTTTCTTCTTCCTTTGTCGTTTATTAATTTCTTCTAGCAGCTTTTGTTCTTCCATCAAGCCACCTTTCCTTCTTTTTTTCCATTCTTGCCCTTTCACCTTTGTTCTCTCGTTTCATGTGTGTTTTGTTTTGGGGTTTTTTTTTTTTTGTACCAATCGAGTCACTTTTGTTCTCTCCGTCCGGTTATCAGCACGGCCCGTCGCACTTCGCCCCGGCCGATGACTCGCTGCCGAACGGCGACGCCGGCTCGAAGAAGGATTCCAGCCTGGTTTTGACGAGCATCAGCACGATCAGCACGGCCGAGCGCGGCAGCGTCAGCTCTGAGCACACCAACGCCAACATCGTACCCGAGCAGGTCAGAAATACGGGAAATGTTGGGCCGGGCTGTGCCAAGTAAATAGACTTCAGCATTCACGACCCGACCCGGCCTAAAAGCTTAGCGTCGTGTCACGTCAACATACTGATGTTGGAGTCAGATTTGCAAATTAATGAGCCAAACAAACCGCAGCCCGGGGGGGGAGGTTGGGGACCACTGCTCTAGAGTACTTTGTGACACGCTTTTCCCCGATTTGATGTCGTCACATGTGACCACGAGGATCTGAAGTAGTGAAGCTTTGCACTTTGTCCTGCGCCTTGGAACTAATCACCTTAATGAGCGCTGCTGATCTTATCAAGGATAGAGTAAGTCGTCATTATTTGCTGGATGTGGTTGTCGGCCGTCGTTATCGCCGGCCACGCGTTGGACAAGTGACATCATCAAAATGAGCCGCTCGACGCGGTGTCGCGGTTAACGTTTAACGAGCCGGCAAACAAAAGCAGAGCAAACAAAAGCGGAAGGCGAAAGGGGTTCCTCCCCCCCCCCACACACACACACAACTCATGCTCAATGGTGGGCTTGTCCAGCCCGAGCACAAAAGACGCCTTGTGCCCGACTCAAAAGAGCAACGGGCACCCATTTTGCCATGGTGAGGCTGACATGCCTCCGTCCTCACCTTGACATCAACATTCTCCCTCCTCGACGGCGCGCGACGAACACTTGTCCTAAAACGTTCACTTCGACGACACTCATTTGCTCACCTTTGGCCTGGAAATTTCGTAAAATAAATAAAATAATACGGGACACTTTGAATTATCCCTCAGTGTGATTGTGAGCGTCAATTGTCGTCTGTCTATATGTGTGCCCTGTGATTGCCTAGCAACCAATTCACGGTGTAGCCGCGGATAAGCGGTCCGAATAATGGATGAAATAACAAGGCAAATAAAAATAAAAAAATAGCGAGTCAATAACAAGATAGATTTCGAAATACTGCAAAAAATAAATAAGGTCTACCAAAAGAAAGCCACGACCAAAACGTTTTACCCCTCCGCCATACCCGCAGGCGTCGAGCCGGACGTGTCGCTGCCTGGGCGGCCAGCGGCTGTCCAACATCAAGACGGTGGCGTGGATGATCACGCTGAGCGACGCGCTGCACAACTTCATCGACGGCCTGGCCATCGGGGCCTCCTTCACCGTCTCCACACTGGCCGGCTTCAGCACGTCCACCGCCATTGTCTGCGAGGAGTTCCCCCACGAGCTCGGTATTTCATTGTCGTTGTTTTTGTTGTTGTTGTTGTTTTTATGGATCCAATTTATGGCAACAGAACCCGACTTATTTTGAGCACTTGATCTTTGACTGACATCTAATGGCAGCTTGTAAAATTGCATCTGGTGTGAAAGCAATTCTTGCTGTCATGATGATGATGATGATGATGTGGCTCTTGGCCTCCAGGCGACTTTGTGATCCTGCTGAACTCGGGCATGAGCGTCCCCCAGGCCATCTTCTTCAACCTGCTGTCGGCGCTGGCGTGCTACGTGGGCCTGGTGTTTGGCATCGTCCTGGGCAGCAACTTTGCACCCAACGCCATCTTCGCCATCGCCGGTGGCATGTTCCTCTACATTGCGCTTGCTGATATGGTACGCTGAGTTCATCTTATCAAAGAGGCTGTTAAAAAAAAAAAAAGCGGCCAGGACGTACACCGAAAGAAAAAAAATGGCTGTCAAGTGTCAATTTTGAGACTTCGGGGTTGGGTTCAAGTTATCGCAATAGCATCTGTGGTGGTGCTAAAGTGCAAATATATATATAAATTGACACTTGAAAGCCATTTTTTTTTCTTTCATGACCCCACACTCAAAAAAAAAAAATAGGTCAAAAATAATCCAATTTGGGTCAAAAGAGGGACTGATCTACTACTTGGGGACCCTTCTTTGGGTGACTTTGTACATAAGAACCCCAAAAAGTGAGTCATTGGCCTTGGTTCAATTCGATCCAACTTTATGGGTCGAACAAATAACCCACAAAGTTGGGTCAAAATTGACTCAAGTGACAGTAGGTCCCCGTCACTTCGGTCAATTTTTTTGGGGGGGGTGGGTCCCTGGACGGCAGGACCTATTTTCCAATGGATGCGAGTCTTTCGAGATGACATCACTAATCGACGCCACTCTTTTTGGTCCCCTCGCAAAACCTTTGGCGCAATGCATCCGCTAAAATCAGGCCTTCAAAATAAAAGCAATAAATGATACAGCTGAAACACAAAGTCCGGTGACTTTCTGTATCGGAGGTCAAGTCTTAGCATGCAGGTTTCAGGTACTGTCAACTCTTTGCATGCATTCACAGCTGCCTCGGGTCATTGTCCATCTGCACTGTGCGGCGCCGGCCGTCCATTGAGTGCTCGAGCATTTGTTTGAATATAAACTTCTGACATTGTCTGAAATTCTCATTTTCCTTTAACGTGCATAATTTCTCCAAATAATAACGCAATCCTTTCCACGACGCAGTTTCCGGAGATGGACGCCATCGCCCGGGAACAGAAGCGCACCTCGTCCAAGGTGGTCTTCTTCCTGATCCAAAACGCCGGGCTGCTGACGGGCTTCGCCATCATCCTGCTCATCACCATGTTCGCCCGGGATATCAATCTGGGATGAGTGCCGGGAAGGAAAGCAAAAAAAAAAAAAAAAAATTCCTCGCCTTCATTTTGGAGCAGGACGATTCCAAAATGTTTTGTCTAAATGAAACCAAATGAACTTTCCACACAAGATAAATTCATTTCATTCATGAAATCTACTTTGATTTTCCCAGAGAGAGACAGTGAACTTTTTTTTTTCCTTTCTTGAAATATTGTAAGATGTGGTTGGTGCTGGACTGTACTGTACTATTTTTTACCTTGGATTTTATTAGCAAAGTCTTTGGTTTGTTTTATCATCCAGCTTCATTTTGGGAACGTTAATTAAATGATGTCGACTTTTATTTCGGAGGGTTGATATCGCTTTGCTCAGGTTTATTCGGATCATACTGAAATAAAATGTGAATCTATGAATCGGACTTTGATGAAAAAAAGTCCATTTTAAATATTGTACATACAACATTCATGATTAAGATGAACAAAAAATTTACAAATGGTATTTAAGTACAATGGGCGGGGGGCTCAGTCTTTCCTCATGGACTGGCGATTATTTTGGGAGGAACAATTTAATGTTCCAATCTTATGGAAATGTTACGTCAAAACAGTTTGTAATACCAGAGTCGATTCATATTCTAGAATCTTGCGATGTAAAATATTTTAAATTCATTAAAAACATGAATCAGCACAATAAGTAAAATAAATTATTGGTACGCCGATTGTTAATCGTTGTCATTGCACAAAAAAAAGATGTATGTAGAATAGAGACGATTCTAGAATTGTGCTTATTGCCTTCATTTGGACTGCAAATATTTACCACATTATTTTACATTTTTTTACGAAAACAAAAACAGGGTTTCGGGGTCTCTAAAGATGCATTCAAGTCCCTCCGTTCCGAATGGTGTGGCATCATAAAAAATACATACGCTCAACAACAACAACAACAAAACCTCGTAATGTCATTTTCGTCGTATCGATCAGGAGGCGTGTCGTTTGCATTCTCAACACTTTTGAGAAAAGATTGCGTGTTTAATGTCAAGAAGTATGTTTTTGTAACTCTTGTTTTTCCCGTATTATTGTTCACCCTGAATGCGTCACAGCTTCCGAGAGCGATAAGGACGATGAGCTGACTTGTTTTGTGCCTTTAGCTTGAGCGTTACGTTTGTGCTGCACTTTCACGCACGTCTTGCACACGGACAGGTATGACGAGGTCGGTTTTTTTTTTTGCCCACTAAGCGCTTTTAGCCTGGACGCAGTGCAATAATTTCGCATGAAACGAAATGTTAGTGTTGGTTGGCTAGCAAACTACCGAGCTAGCTAGCTAGCTGACTGCCAGCTAATCCCCGAGTGGAAAGAGCGTCAATTTATGCTCAAGAAGTTTTGCGAGCAGTTTCGAATTAATTCATTTGTCTTGTGCAATTGGGTGCTTTGATTAAAATGTATAAATATCACATAAGCTAATGAACTTTGCCTGGTTTAATTTTTTTTTGCAAACAATTAAATGTGATCATCAGATCACTGCATTGATTTGAAATCGGAGTATTTCGGTCGTCGAACCCACTTGAAATCGAGTTGAGGCAGGAAGGAAGGATCGTCCTTGTCTTCTGCCTTCAGGGCTGGGCGGTGTACTTAAAACGGCATTCAACAAATTTAGAGAGCTAAATTTGATCGCTCCTCATACCAAACATGCTTTCAAAGCGTGACAATAGATATGGAAATGTACACTAATCCCCCGCATGTTTGTGGTTCACTCTTCATATATATAGACATGATGCATCCTGCCTTAGAGACAACCTTTGCTTGTAACGGGAGGCGCTCAGTTCAGCCTGGGTTGTGGAGTGCAGTTCAGGAGAGTCTTTGCCGCATGTGCAATTCCGTTGCATTTTTTTCCCCCTAAAATCATTTATTTTGAAGGTAAATTTTAAATCTGTACAATTAAACTATTGTGGGAATCACAGTTTGGGCCATGTTAATGATTAAACTCACATCTCACTTGCCTTCTCTCCTCTTGTAGCCGAGTGTCACGATGTCCGGCGTGAAGATCCGTGAATACCGCGACGGCGACTTCTCTACGGTGCGGGAGATTTTCTCGCTGGGCACGAGCGAGCACGTGCCGGCGTCCTTCGTGCATTTCCTCAAGCAACCGCAGTGTCAGATGCTGCTCATGTCCACCTTCTGTGCGCTGTTAGCTAGCTCCAAGTCCTTCCTGCTGCCTGTTCTCGCCGTCACGCTGCTGCTGGCCATCGTCTGCCAACTTGTGGTCTACAATTTCAACAACTACATCGAGAAGTGCTGCAGCACAGGTGTCAAACTTGATGCTTGCTGCCCATGAGTTTTTTTTTTTTTTTTGTCCTAATCTTGTCATAAATTAGACCACGCAGTCAGTGCCCGTTTATCGTGTGGCCAAAGCGGGCAAACAAAGAAGGAAGCGACGCATTGACTTCATCCTCCTGTTCCACAGATCTCAACAGCATCAGCGAGACCTACATGGCCCCCCGGGACGCCTGCTTCTGGGTGGCCGAAAACGAAGGACGCGTGGTGGGCATGGTGGCCTGCCGCCCCAAGGACGGCGTCCCCGACTGCCTGGAGCTCAAGCGTCTGTCGGTACTACGCAGCCATCGCGGCAGGGGCGTGGCCAAAAAGCTGTGTCAGGCGGTGGCGGACTTCACGCGCGAGCGAGGCTACGCCGCCGTGGTCCTCCACACTTCGGTGGTGCAGACGGACGCGCAGAAGCTGTACGTGGCCATGGGGTTCCGCAAGCTGCGAGAGTTCCCGGAGGGCAATCTCGCCGCCAGGCTCACAAACTTCTCGCTCTTTGAGTACAGACTGGATCTGCACAAAGACCACGCGGCAAAGTGAGTCTGCGGACATTCCGTGACGGCTTTCGTTGCGAAAGCGCTCTTTGAGCAGGTGCCAGAAGGTGGTCCGTGCAACACAGATGTGAAGCGGGACACGGTGTACAATGGGCAATTGTTTTCCTTGGGGTAAAAATGGCATTCAAAATCGAGGTCCTAATTATTTATCGCCTTACACGTGCAAAAATCAACTTTGTGTTGACTCGAGGTGCAATAGTCGAAAAGTAATTGATTATCAGATAATCGAGAATTATTTTGAGGAATTGATGAATCTTTCAGATGGCATGTGTCAAACTCAGTGTCGTGTCAATTGTCTTTGCCTTTAAAAAATTCTGAGGTCCCCCCCGCCCCCCCTTATAAGATAAATGTAATAATATTTAAGCAAAACGGTTTCACTCTCCTCTGTTTTCAAAATGAGTTCGTGAGTGGGGGGCACCACAGTGGGCACAGTCAATTCGAAATCAAGACCACAATCCCATTTTATTCCGAGCCAAATTAAGGTTACGCACAAAACCTCTGAATTGTTCAGAAATAAAAATGTCGCTCACCGTTATTGTTTATTTCTTCAAAAGAAAAAGGACAATCTTTTGTTGATTCAAGGTTTTTTTTTCTTCCCCTATTTATCCATCGTACCAACGTCTTTTAAATGTGTTTCTACATTTCAGTCCAATAAAACTGTATTGCACAAAAAGTTGTGGCTTTTATACGCATACGCCCCCCCCGACCCCCAACAATTTGATTTTAAAAAATAATGAAAAGCAAGCAACAGTCTGGATGTGTTGCAACTGTCTCCTGGGGGCCAAAAACAGCGCAAAGGATTCATTTCACAACTGTTTTATGTCTTGAAAATTCAAAAACCACGAGCCTTCCGTCCATCTTTACGCCGCGGCTGAATCTCAACGTCGCAAGCGCAGAGCAAAACAACAAAACAAGCAAAACGGGAGGCAACCATAAGACTCGTTTAGCGTCAGTCAGCAAGATTCTGACAACAACAAAAAAAAAAAGGCCTGAAGTACCTTTTTAAATAAGATGTTAAAAATATGTGTGGCGGAAATGCAATGGTCAAGAATGGTGACAATGTTTCACCTCCCAAAAAAAAAAAAAAAAAGAGGCTGACCAACCAGAGGAAAAAAATGTAAACTGCCTGATGACTGTAAAGACGAGCGACCAAAAAAGTTGTGCAGTCAAAATCCTTTCCAAGTCTTGTGTTATGTGACAACCTGGATTGTCAGTCGTCATTTTCGTCATCGAGACAGGAAATAAGGTGAAAACGGCGCGGAGATATCAAGGTATTCAACTCTGGTGCGCTCAGACAATGGCAACCCAAGATGGCCACCGGCGGCTTCACTTATCCCGACAGCGACGAAGGCGGCGTTCGCAGTCCAGGCGATGAGATCCGTTTACGACTTGACCGTTCCGCCAACTTGTTCTGTCACCGTTTGTGCCGGCATGAGGTGGTCAACATGTCAATCATTTGATTTGCCACCTCTGATTGGCCGTCATTTTGACGACCCTAAAAAGGGCCACTCCGGTAACCGGCTTGAAAAAAAAAAAGAATCTCCACATTAAATAACTTTTTACAAAATATCACTCATTCACAGTCAATGTATAACATTCTCATGCTCAGATATGTGGCTGGCCAATAATAAGAATCAATCAATGCATTCCGATCACCTTCTTCAAAGTATCCACCCCCTCCCTCCCTCATTCTACGTACTCTAAACCCGCTCGAGCAAGAAACCAAAAAGCTTGGCCTCAGGTTTTCTCATACAGTAGGTTTCTGCTACAGGAGATTGAACCTCCCCCCCCCCCAAAAAAAAACAATAACGATAAGTTAAATAAATAAAAAAAACTGCTCTTCAAAAGCCACTTGAGTTCTGTTGCTGTTGAAAAAGTGCTGCGAGGCCGCGCACGCAAGGCAAAATAAATAAGTCCCTATTGAGAAAAAAAAAAATCCAAAATCCGGACAGTCTTCTTGGCTCATGCTGAGCGTAAAAGCGGAGAAGTCGCACGGTTTACTGTTGGCTAACCGTGATGACGTGCGATGGCGTGTCGGATGAGGGCAAAAAAAAAAAAGAATAATAATAACAATAATGTGCGACGAGGACGGACAGGGAAGGACGATCGAGTGAGGGCGGGGTAGGCGGCGAGTTTGATTTGAGTCGGGAAGCGCGTGCACAAAGAGTAGAAATCAATCACAGAAAAAGGAAAAGGGGGGGAGCAGGAGGGTGGCGTTCAGTATTCATCCTGGTCCAGGTGGGCTCGTTCGTCAAATTCTTCATCTTCCGGAGGCGCAAATCCCTCCTGGAACACACAAAGGAGCACAACTTGTCAAAAAAATAAGTAAAAAAAACAAACAAACTTTAAAACCCTAATTGGAAACCCTGACCCTAGTTTGAAACCCGAATTGAAAACCTGACCCTAGTTTGAAACCCTAATTGGAAACCCTAACTCTAGTTTGAAACCCTAATTGGAAATCCTAACTCTAGTTTGAAACCCTAATTGGATACCCTGACCAAAACAAACAAACTTTAAAACCCTAATTGGAAACCCGAACCCTAATTTGAAACCCTAATTGGAAATCCTAACTCTAGTTTGAAACTCAAATTGGAAACCCTGACTCGAGTTGGAAACTCTGCTAGCCACCATTGGTTGATTTCAGCAAGGCCAGGCCAGGTTGTGGACAGAACACATGACTGGCGAGTCATCAAACTCAAGCGAAACATCTCCGACGCCGCAGCTGACGCCGCGACTCGTCGACTCTCGGTACCGCCCTGAAAAAACACTGCCGTGACGGCGAGGAGTACCTCCGTGGCATAAAGGATGTCGATTATCCTGCTGAGCACCGGGTTGCTCTCGCTCTCGTGCTCTTGGCAGATGAGCTCGATGTCTCGTAGTTTACTGAAATAAAAGTCTCTCTCCTTCTCAAGGCCGTCCACCGTCAGCTTCAACTCCATCAACTGTTCCGAAAGGAAAACAAAACAAAACAAAACATTATTTACCTCAATGAGGATCCCGCCGGAGCGGCCGAATCACAAAACCGCCCTAAGAGGACATTATCGGCGGCGACTGGAGGGAAACCCGAAAGATATGATGGCTGGTAATGAAACCTGTTGATTGAGCTCCGTGATCTCGGCGTCACTGCCGCCATTCCGGGACAGGCTCGGGTTCTTCCTCAAGGCCGGGGTGTTGTGTTGGACCCTCTGCGGCGTCGGCATGTTTTTGGGCACCGTCGGCGACGTCCTCTGCGGTCCTGCTGGCGGTCACAACACAGTCAAGGCACGGTGAGCATTTTATTTGAAGAAAAAAACAAAAAAAAACATGAGGTGCACATATGACGCTGCCTTTTGTCATTGTATCGGGACCAGATACAAGACGCCAAGACCGGTGGCAGACAAAATTAAAAGAGAAACAAGTCACGAAACAAGTCGGAGAATGCAATTTGCCAGCAAAAAGCATTCAAGTCAGGCGAGTTTCCATTCCTGTTAGTAAAAAAAATAAAAATAAAAAAAACTGCAACAGCATGAAACAGCCTTTTGGTGGTCATTCGTCCTAAGCGATGCCTTCAGAGGGTGTGGGATTTTACAAAATTCAGAGCTTCACTTTTGGGTGGCGAAGTTTTTCAAAACCCGCGTTCCCACTAAGCGGTACAGTTGCATTCCGCTGCTACGAAATTGAGTTCTTTGGGATGATTCTGACCACTCAAGCGAACAGGTAATCAACTGTACCGATTAGTGAAAAACAAAGCAAAATAAATAAAATGGCTACCATTCCACTGCCTGCCGAGTGCCTTTGCGTCATCCAAAGCTGAGCAAAGACCGTGCAGCACTGGAACCCCCCCGCAAAAAAAAACTGGTTGTGGTTACCTGGAGTTCTCTTTGGTTTGTGGCTAAAGTGATCACCTGGATTGAGGGCGGGGGGCACATCTTGTCCCTGTCTGGCAAGCATCGGGTCGTACTCCTTCCCGTCGTAGTTGGCGTCAAAGAACTTCTTGAACCACTGGACAAACTCAAAGTTGTCCTGGAACTTGCCCTTGACCAGTTTTTCCACCGGAATGATCTGCGGGGAGCGCAAACGGCAGAAGATGACAGAGCAAAGAAAGACAACGGCGAAAGTCCGGCATCCCGCCGGCGCCGTTCGGACCTTGTCGACGCTCATCCTTTTGAAGGCGGCTTGCAGAACTTTGAAGTTGTGGATAAATTCGTGCTCCAGTTTGGCTTGAAACTTGACCTTCTTCAGGAGGATGCACCCCGGGAACAGCATATCCATGAACTGGCAGTACGCCGCCCCTGCAAAGCACATCAAAGAGCCCCGTTTTTCATGTCTTTCTATTTCAGTGGGGAGGGGTGGGGGGTACAAAGTACAAATAGATTGTATCTGTTGCTATCGTTCAATTTTCTCCAAAATCCACAGTGCGCCTTGTGCGTGGATGGATGTCAGCTTTTCAGTGACTTTATTTTTTTCGCCCTTCGCGGATGATGACACGGCATGAAAAAAAAAAAAAAAACGCCCCCCGCCCCCACCCCTGTAATTGCGCCAGCCCTGTCGCCATTCTACCTGAGCAGAGCTGTTCGATCTTGGTGTAGGTGAGCTGCAAGGAATCGTTGACCCACGCCAACATGTCATGGCGGCTCAGGTTGTCGATGGACACGGACGTGGCGTACACATTCACTGCCATGCCCGACCTGAAAACACACACACACACACACACACACACACACACACACACACACACACACACACACACACACACACACACACACACGCACACACACACACACACACACACACACACACACACACACACACACGCACACACACCGAAAAAAGTCCTTGGGTTCAGCGTGTCATGTGCTCAGGTCAAATTCATGAAATGACGGTTTGCTCTCCATGAGCCAATCCAGAGAGCACTGGTGTCAAACCCAAGGCCCGGGGGCCAGATCTGGCCTGCCGCATCATTGTATGTGGCCCGTAAGAGCAAATCAGCCAGGTAACTTCCGTGACGCTTGCTAAAATCTGCAGCAAAATTTCAATTTGTCATACGTAATAAATAGAAATGTTGAGCTATTGCAAGCATTTTCTTGTTTTACATGATGAGAGAAACTTGAACAAGGGAACAAACGACTCTCCTTGCTTGACTTTTGATTTCAAAATGAGTTATCTATGAATTGTGCACGTTATATGTAATAATACAAGGAGGTGATTAAACATTTGTCAGGGCTGTGAAATTTCCGCGGATTGGCGGAATTCCGTGGATTCTGTTGTGAAAAATCTCGATTTTTACATGAAAAATCATTTCTCATCAACGACAAAAGACGACCATGTATAGGAAGGCGTTTTTCACAAAGAAAAAAAAAAAAAAAAAAAAAAAACAACCATTTATAAAAAGGGGTTTT